TGTGTGTGGTGCAAGGGATTCTACCCAGGACCTCAAAGCATGCTCAGGAAGCGTTCTATTACTGTCATACGCTAGTCAATGTTTCCAGCTTTCAGCCAGCATAAACTATAGGCTTTTGAGCATTATTCAGTATACTGCTTAAGGTACAAAATCCTTAAAATTCAAATTAAGAAAAATTAAAGTCCAAATTATCTAAACAACAGAAAGGTATTTTTATAATCAGCATTTAGTTCTTTTCTAACTCTAGCTTAAGCTAGCAGAGGTCTCAGATTATTTAAAGGAGTAAAAATTCTTCCACAAAGCAGGGAAGCTAGAAGCAATGGAAGGTCTAGGACCTGAGACCAAGCACTTCTATATAAGCCTGTGTCAATTTAAATCCCTTAAGAGCTCAGCAGACCACATTTCATCTCTGCAGGGTGCCATGGTCTTGTCTTTACTGCTGCAGAGAAGCTAAGGACCTGATATACCCATGGCTGAGACCCAACCTCCTGGCTGTAGTCAATATGAACTCAATATGAACTCACCCCAGCTTGGAATCAAATGAACGAGTTTCATTCAGAATTTCACCTCCATTCTCAAGCTCATTGATTTGCCTCTGAATCTCGTAGTCTATGAAAAAGATAGTAAGTCAGTATGTTCTGATTATACCTTTTATCCTTCAGGCAGTAATTAGAAACCATTATCAATCCTTAAGTTAAAAAAAAAAAATGAAGAAGACTGTTTACAATGATCCCTCCCTTGCAGGCTGTATTTTCTTTTTGCTACTGGAAAGTGTCTTAAGAAGCTTGCCCCACCCCTCTTCCTTTTTGAGGCCCCTCAGTTCAGAGATTAACAACCCGGTACAGACTGTACAACTTGGTAGAAGAAGGGCTGGGACTGATATGCAGGTCTTGGAACTGCAGCTCTCAGACTGTGGCCTATCATAAGTTCTTATCCTGAAACTAGTAGATACGCTACAAGGGGTCCCGGCAATCCCCCCAAATTATATACAAAATACGGGTAGATGTAATGTACATTTCTGGAAAGTGGATCCAGAATTTTCATTTTATTTTCAATAGGATCTATGACCCACTAACTCCATAACATGTTCCCTCATCATCAAGCAGAACAGATAGGCTATAGCAACCAAAACACAGTCACAACTGCCAAGCTACTTTATGAACATAAACCCTACCTTGCTCAAATCCAAACACTTGAATCTGAATTTCTGAAAAGCAGCAACACCAAATGGGTCCATTTTTGTTCCAATCTCTCTCACCCCAATGTTCTCTTTGACTGACATGAAGTGATGGCTAAAAGGTCCAGCACAGTTTGAAAAAACCTGGTGGGAAAACTACAGGCTCATGGTGACAAAGCTCTGGTTCTACCTTTGTTCTCACTGTGAATACAGAATTCTGACTGCTACTCTAAAGGGCACTTTGTATAACAAAGGGAGGTTAGGGACTCCTAAAAACATGCCATGGGAGCCTTCATAAGTAATTGCAGACAAATCTTAAAATATGGTTGCCTGCTTTTCATTACCTATCCGAGGAGAAGTGGAACTTTCTTTCACATGTTCCCAGGGATACACTTGCAAGTCATGTTTCCCCTTCATATACCTAGGTTGTAAGCCTGAGTTTCTCTGCCTCACCCTTTTACGGCTTCAGCAATGGGGACTATGTTCCCTCTCAGAAACAAGAGTTTACCCCTCCCCCCTAGTACCTCTGCCCTATAAGCTATCCCTCCAACCATTTTAATGTCTGTTCTTTAAATATATGTCCCCCCGCCCCCCAAGAGTGTCTTCATTAAGGCTGCCTAATCACTTCAGGCTTGGGACGCTAAGATTTCACACAGACTACAACAATCTCTTCCATATTGTTTTTAACACTTCTCTCAGCAAGACCCAGCACTAAGCATTCCGGCTGTGGCAACTGTCAGCTGTCTTGCTCTTTGTGCACTGTTTGTTGAAGGGATACACTTTCAAGTCATTGCCTCTCTCTTCTCTAGAGGTCTTTGGCTTGTAAAACTACTTTAACTCCCAGGCTCAGTTATCGGCTTCTATGGGACTGCCTAAACAGCTAGCCTGTTCTACAGTAGCTATCATCACACATTTGTCATCGGTGAAACTCCCACAGTGTACACGCCAGTAAGATCAACCTTGACTACACAAGCACATGCAATCTATCAGCTGGAAAGGGTGAAAAGCAGAAAACATACTGACAAATTAGACCACAGCAAATCTATTAAAGGAACTTGACTTTGTAAAGAATGTGATACAAGGTGGAAGATTCACCATATTTTGTGAATTCTCCCACAGGAGATGGAATCTATTTCCCCTTCCCTTTGAGTCAGGTTTGAAGTCAAGCTGCTTTCAACAAAACGTGTCAGAAATGACACTATGTGTTCTAGAGTTGAGAACTCAAGTGAGTGGTCTTGAGGCTTCTGCCTCTATCCTCCTGGGATGCATCCACTGGCAAATACAAAACTCAGGCTGGACAAACGAAGGACAAAAAGCTACATAGATAGAGAAGCCCCATCTAGCATCCAGGGTCCCAGGTGACTGAGGGCTTCTCAGATCTTTATTTCCATTGACCTGCTGGTTTCCCAAAGCTGTAGGAATGAGCAGAGACATGTTTAGTAGAACCACCACCTGCTCCACAGAACTGTGAAAACCAAAGAGGTTACTGCAGGAGCCACTAAGCATTGGTGCCCGTTACACAGCAGAGCTGAGTGATACAAAGAACACACTAGGTGTAACAGCGGACATTCACCTATAGCTTTGGCCAAGAACCTGATGCTGTTGAGATTCTTCACTTCAGTCCGGACTCCCAAAGTCTCCCCAGGGTGATGAACAGATATATTGGCATCTACTCTCAGCTGGCCCTCTGGAAGGAAAGAACAAAAACAACTGTGTAGAAATTCTTTGAGGCAATATTGTCTTTTGGGGATGGAGGGAAGCTTTCAAGGTGAGTAATATCTAACGACTTTCTGTCTAGTGATAGCAACCTAGCTTCAGACAGCATAATTGGGACTGAAACATAGCTGTTCCCTCTGTTCACTCCAGACCAGTCATCTACAGTGTGTTTGTATATGTGCTTGTGTGTATGTGCTTGCCCTTGTGCACAAACAGAAGAGAAATTTTGGATGCATTAGCTGGAAGGATCTAGCATCTGTGTGCTAAGTGAGAAGAACAATATTATTAAAATGGAGACTTGCTCTGCAGTCTTATTCTAGTCTTAGTATCAAAGTACAGACTTGAGTTCGGGGGGAAGCCTCAAAAATGATTACTGAAACCCCTCTCCAGTGCTCTCCAGTGAAATGGGGATTTCTAAGTGTTATCCAGAGATTTATAAGGCAGTCCTTGAGAATTTACAGCTCAAGGGCATGAACTGAAACCTGAGCTCCTTCCCTCCTCCTTCCTCAGGTACTGTAATGATTTTCCTTCCATAAACACATGTCTGAAGCCTTCCTGATTGCTGTGAGGATTTGCTGTGGCAGAGACAGTGCTGTTATGAAGTGGGAATCGGTGGAAGACCAAAAGAGAGCTGACCCCACCCCTCCAGTACCTTCTTGGCCCTGGAAAGCTCCTCAGCTTAAGAGACACAACCCTAAAGAAGCAGGTGATTTGTGGAGAGGACTGAAGGCTTCTGAGGAAGACTGGGAGGTGAAAATTCCAAGACAGAAAGAGAGATGAAGACAAGAAATATCACATTTGCACTTTACAAATAAAGCTCAAATTCCATTTCCCAATCTCACGTACAATACTTTGAACAAGATGAGAGGACAAAATGCTGATTTTATTTTCCTAGGAGATTTTTTAGTTTTGTTTTTTTGAGACAGGGTCCCACTATAGAGCCCTGGCTGGCCCTGAACTCATCATCCTCCTACATTAACCTTCTAAGTAGCTTAACTTCAGGTGTGTGTCACCTTGGCACCTAGGTACATCTTTAAATTTAAAAAATATAATCTCAGGATGGGCTGAATATATTCTTTTCCCAAATGTTTCACAATAAAAGCATATTAAAATAATTAAAAGCACAAATGAATTCCATGCCAAGATAAAAGAAATAATTGGGAATGGGTTCTCTGCCACTCCCCACTACTGAACTATGGGGCTCAATTCTACACCAGGCCAAGACCGCCACCCAGGCGGTTCTGCTCCCCACTGACACCCTCAGACCATGAGAACAGTTCACCCACTCTGTGGCTGACAAGAAGCCTTTCAGCTCAGGAGTGGTTCTAGCTATGCACAGGTACTGACTTCTCAACATTTGTACACAATCCTGCAGTTGCCTGTTTTAAATCAGCTTCTGAATAAGTCATGCTTTTCTGAATCTCAAGTGCCACCTGCTTAGGAAACTTGATGTCACCTTCCACTTTCCTGTTTTCTTTGTGTTTCACAACTAAACTGTCAATTAGACCCTCTCTCCAAATATCCTTCACGTTTGTCACTCCTTCCCAATCAGCTGCTGTCACCTTTGCCTTAGGTCTCAGAACTTGAGGCCTAGGTTACTAGACCACGTTCTCAACACAGCAGGGCTTCTAGTTCAGTCCCCAACTAAGACTCTCATCCTGCCCCAGTGTGGCTTTGATCACTGATGTTGTTACCTGGAGCACAGGCAGCTCTCTGCCTTGTCTCATCTCCCGGCCTCTGCTGTTATCTAAGAGCTCTGATCCTGTTTGATGAGACCAGCATTTTCCCACCATTCATTCCATGGGGCTTCCCACATTCAACTCCTGTCTACTCCACTGGCACTGTTTTTTGAGGGGGGAACCTGTGACAGGTCTCATATAGTTCAGGCTAGCCTCAAACTTACTATGTAGTCAAGGCTGGACTTTAACTCTTGGTCCTCCTGCCTTAACCTCCTGAGTGCTGCGATTATAGACATGCATCACCATACCTGGTTTGCACTGGTGCTTTATTAGTGTTACCATCCCTCTACCTTCTCTTCTACTCAACCTCCAAGACTGCACATAAATGTTCCTCCCTTCTATTAGACACCTTTATCAGGAAGTAAGCCTCCCTGGAGACCCTCCAAGTTATTAGAATGCACACAATCTATGCCACACAACAGAGCCCAGCCCGTGACTCTGGTCTATAGCAAACTCACTCCTAAGGCCAGAACAGAAGGACCTTTGGGAAAGGGCCTGATTTTAAATTCCCTTTTGCCCCCTCAAGGACGTGGCTCTTTCACGTAGCCTCTCTTTCCCACGCCAGCCATCAATCTCTTTCTTAGCATCCGCTCTGCTATGTACAAATGTAACAGTATTTCTCATTAAGAAAACAAACAAAAGCCTCAAAACGTATTCCCGTGAGCCCAATTTCCACATCATTAGTCATTCAGCCATTTCTCCGCATTCCTTCTCTACAAACCCTCTCCAACAAGTTTGTGCACAGACTGTCTTTACTCTCTCACATCCTGTTTACTTCTAACACCAGTTCAGCCTGGCTTCTGTCTCCCCATCTCTAAAAATGCCCTTGTCAGAGGTACCACAACCTCCTGGCTGCCAAATCCAAAGGACACTAGACACATTTTGCTCTCACCTTACTCAAGTATGACACATCAACTAACCCTACCCCCTTTTTTCTTTGTTTTTCTTATGTAGCTGAGGATGGCACAGAATTTGCTATGTAGTACAGGCTGGCCTCAAACTCACAAGCCTCCTACATGCCAGGATTACCACAACCTGGCTTCCTTCCCTCTTGAAATATCTTCCTACCTCAGCTTCTATGGCCCAATGCTGTGGCTTTTCCTCCCTCTTCCCTGAACATTCAACATTCAGCTTCTACATAATTTACTCATCTCCTCCTCCCCATGAAAATCAGGACTCTCTTCTAGACTGGTGTATGGTTTTAAATATCACCTGTGTGCTCATGTTGCCTAATTCTCTCTCAGCACAGACCTCTCCTCTGAACCTTGCTCTAACCCTTACAGGTATCCCCATTATCAAGCCTGAATCCTGACTCGCCCTTTCACAAAGACAGCTTGTCTTCATCTTTCGGTCCTGGTAAGCACTACCAGCTTGCCCTTCAAGCTTCCTTGAAGGCATCCTTGCTTTCTGTCTCTCATCCCCAACACCAGACTGTTAGAAACCTTCTGTTCTTAAGAATCATCTCAAATCTACCTCTCCATCATCTCTGCCACCATCACTGTCACAACAATATCACTTTGCATCTGATCCCTTGCAGGTGCCTCTTGATGGTCTCATTTTCTCTTCCTGACCTTCTGAAATTCACTTTCCACAGAGCAGCCACAGTAGTTTTCTAAAATGTTAATCAGACTCAGTCATTCTCTTACATCCTTTCCGTGACTTCCCACAGCACTTAGAAGATCTATACTTCTGGCTGTTTCCTGAACTGTTCCCTGTCTACCTTTCTGGCTTTTTCCTAAAGTGCCTTCGGTCACCTCGGTAACCCTGGTGATATTTTCTAAACTCTTTTTCAGCCCAGGCTTTCTGCCTTAGCTAGTTCCTGGACTCATCACCTAGTTCTAGGCTGGCTGGGGCCCTGGAGCATTCGTCAGGTTTTAACTAAATGAATGTCAATTCTCCTGACTGGCCTCTAGAAGCAACATTGCCTTCATCCAAGTTATTCTGGACCGCTGCACTTCATTCATTTCCTTGAGACATTTATCATAATTATTTGGTTTTGTCTGTTAATGTATTTGTCTTCTTCAGAAGCATAAGGTCTTCCTGATAGGTACACAGTGTTTTTCAGAATCTACAGCTGGGTCTAACTCGTTGTGATTATTCCGTGAATTAAATCTTGTTTAATTGATGATGAATGCTTATACAGTGGTATTTTCCTGAACTGTAAGTAAGCAGCCTGGTTTCTGTCTCACAGTAGGGTCTTGGTAAATTCTAAAATTCTATCTGAATAGGACTAATCTACAATTGGAATCCCCTGAAAGGCCCATTAAGCTCAAAGGAAAACTTCCATAAAATGCAGAGCTCTGTGTGACCAAATCTCAATACTTGGGAGACAACTTTTTTTTTTTTAACTCAGGGAACCCTGAATTATTCACTTTTAAAAATGAAACCATCTCTCACAATTTAGAATTCTAATTTGGAGAAGGAATAAAAGCATGAATTTTAGTCTCTCCTGGAGAAGACCACACTACATAAATGTCTGAGGGAAATCATTTAGTATCCTGCAGTGTTGAAAGAGAGTTCACTAGCCTGGATTCACATATAGTATCAAACATTAACAATAGACACTCTATCCAGTGAAGACAAAAAGCCTTTTAAACAAATTAAGTTAAATTGCCTCAAGCGCCTGAAAGCCTTACCAGTCAGGTTTACTTCCACACATTCTGTCCCACTGAGGGAGGGACTTCACTCCCAGATGAGGATGTTATCAAGCTCAATTTCGACCTTCTAGAAGCCTAGATTTGTAAGAGCTAAACTAAAAAAGTACACCGCTGAGAACAGTGATAGAGTGCAGTCACATATTTCTTTCTGAAATACATTCACACAACAGAAATATAATACTGGGATAGAAAACTTTCTGCAGACAGCAGGGGCCCGAGGCTTGGGTAGGAAGGTGGGTCAAGTCCCTTCATTCTAGTTGGTGAATACTCTCAAAACTTAAAGAATAAAACCTAAGGGGAAAAAGTGATTAAAAATTTCTTGTTGCATTGCCAGGATGGAAACCAGACCTCATACATGCTAGACAGGTGTTCTACCACCGAGCTACATCCCTGGCCAAAAGTGACCAGATTTTATTGAACATATTTCATAAAACTTATTCATCCAAATGAATGGAACGCCATAGAAGCAGTACTGCGTTCCACTGTTAATAACATGCACCAGCACAGGCTTTCTGTCAGGCCCTGTGCTGTTTTATAGCCACCATTACATTGACTTTTTCTAATATGGCATTAATGACAAAGCCACCTACATATCCCTGTGGCACCTCAAGCTTGAAATGTCCCTAATAGAATCCCATATCTCCAATGTTTCTCTCCCTAGCACTACAGCTCTATGTGCCAACTCTGGGCTTCCTTTTCTTCCCTTCTACCTGTAACTATTTGGGGATGACTTTTATAAGTGTGGATGGTAAGAGTCAAGGAAATCAAAACACTTGTCCAGGTTTCTATTGCTGGAAGCCACAGGCTGGAATTTTAACTCAGGTCCAGTCTCTCTGCAGTTTTTATGCTTCACCATCCTGCTCTCTGAGCAGGCATCTATGGCATGTGTCTGGCCACCATTGTGAAGTATGGCACCATGTTTAAAGAAGAGTCACACCTGGGCTCAGTCCCAGTGTAGGCACTTCTAATGAACTTTGGACAAATAACCTGACCCAGCCCATGTGAGGCTTGTAAACAGGCATTCCCAGGAATGTTATAATGTTTAAATTACATGATAAATCATTTTTAATGAACACATACCAAACATTCCAGTTGTATATAGCGTAGCTACATACAATTGAAGCACTTAGTCAAAGGACTTCTGTACATATTCAGCTCAACACACTGCTTTGAGGATCCCTTCAACAGTGGCAACGCTTTTGCCCTGAGAAGGAAATGACTCAGACACTGGGCTGAGGTGGTCTAGGTTCACTAGCAAATCTACCTGGCGCTCACTAATGGGCAGCCCAGAACAATTCGCACTCCAGTCCTTTAGCACCAAGTCTACTAGTCTTTAGGGCCACGCCTTAAATTAAAGGTCATTCATAGGGTTTGTAGGAATCACAGTGATTTTTGGAGAATATTTAAGTTTTTTTTAAAGTGATACAGAATCAATGCTTAATGGATAACCACCCAATCTGCCCATATAGTTCATTTATGTTCTGTAGGCCAAAAAAGCACCATGAGTGATAAATGAAAACTAGAGACTTCTCTTACTAGCAATCTCACTTCTATAAAGGCAACTTGTAGCAGCTACCTTTGTGCCACTCTGTGGGAGACAGGCTTGAGCCTAGGGTGAAAGTCTTATTGACAGCCATACAGCAGGCCGGGGGCAACAGCCTGACCCAACCGCTGGAGCCATAAGGAATGCCTTCTGATATTTGCTCCCACTGGCAGATCAAGAGCCTGATGCCTAGAACTCACCACTCCCTAATCACCATCCTTGGAATTCCAAATTGCAACACTTAGATAGTGCAACAGTCAGGGTCACATGGTTTCCAGGAATCCAGGCTCTGTAATCTGAAACCCAGTATGCTAATGAGGCATCCTACCTGCTATTCTGTGATAGGATGTTAAGTCTGTTATGCTATAAGGTATCCTACTTGCTGTGCTGTGACTGGACCACTACCCCATATAAGCTTGTGCCTTCCTGCAATAAACCAGACCTGTGTCACTGAACCTCGTTTCCTGTGTCTGAATGCGGCTCTGCTGACACAGTCTCCTCACCAGCCCTGGGGTCCGGGACCGGGTAGAAGCAGTGACGACAGAAGGCGGCACTGGGTGAGCAGAAGAGCGGCCTCAGCCCAGGGCAGGCAGAAGAGCGGCCTCAGCCCAGGGTGAGCGGAGGAGCAGCCTCGATGCCCGTGAGAATGAAGAAGCGGCACCCGTGAGAACAGAGGAGTGGCCGCCGCTGGTGGTGACCGCACTACTCCAACTCATGTGGCTAAAGATGAAGGCAGAGAAGTAAGCTCAGTCTTCATATTCAATTTGTACCAGGGCTCTGAAGTTACAATTTATTGCTTGTAAGATGTCCTACATGACAAATGTGACATTAAAAATTCAAGTGGCCCTATGTAACAAGCAAACACATTATGTGACATGATAAAGGTGTTCATATTACCATGCACTGGCAGGAGGAGGAACACCATCAACAGAGTTTACCAGTTATCCACTGTGACCACTGAAATGCATGCTCTGACAATAGGATCATAAATGCAGAGCTGTATTCTGTCAGGAAGGAGTTTTTACACAGCTTCTGGGAACAGAAAATGGGGTGGGGGGAACATGGCCATGTTAACTATCAAGGGCTTAAGGCTGGACAAAAGAGCACTGGGCAAGGAACAAGAGAGAGGAGCCATGGAAACACAGACCTTACCCAGACCTGTGATTTATTTAAATAATGTGTTTCATTATGACACTTTCATACATGTATACATGTATATAATTATAATGTACTTTCATCATCCTAATGCAAGAGTACAAGTATCTCTTTGTTTGAACCTAAGATTTTTCTTAGGATAGTTTTATATATTCATTATTTTAATTGTTCAAATGAACAGAGCACAGTATGGTATTTAATTATAGATGTACACATATATCTATGTATGTATACACATACATAGTGTATAATAATCAAATCAGCGTAGTTCACATTTTATGATGGACACAAATTTTACAAAAGAGAAACAGATCTCCCCAAAGTAACAACTGGCTATGTATACCCAGCTCACAAATCAAGAATTGTTCTTCATGAAGAGTGTCCTCTTTCTGAACAAGATTAAACTGAACACACTTTGTGAGCCCTTACAGTATTTATATAGCTAGCTGGAAGAATGCAAATCTTGCCCTTTGACTTCTATAATCACAGTCTCCAACTCTGTGTCTGCAGTGTAGTTTGTGTTTTATTTTTGGTTTGGGGCTCAGAAAAAAAGAGTCCAAGGAAAAACCTAGAAAGGAAAAAAGTAGGGGTACAAAAGGCTAAATACAGGATGTGCCAGGAAGCAGAGGGGGAATGCAGAGGAGGGAGACTTCGCTGCAGCTTCTACCTGCCATGTTTGCCTGGCTGGTTCCTAGGGCTTGAAGGATCAGCTGCAACTCCCTGACAGCTGTGGCTGCCTCTTCTCCACAGCACAGGTCAGGCTCCAGGACCACTTCCAGAAGGCCAACTCCTACCAAAGAGAGCTGGGTCAGCATGACTTGTGCTTGACAGACTCATCAGCTAAGAAAGAATCCTAGGAAAACCTGGCATTAATGAAGGACCCTCAGAGTGGTTTGAGCCATGAAGTTGTTACTTTTCTCCCACTTTTCAATTTTTAACTCTGGTTTACATCTTTCAACGTCAGCTTAAGAATATCCAGCTGTGGGCCCTAGACAAGGTGGATAAGTCGGTCTGATTTTAGGGGTGAGTAATTGGCAAGCCCTGCAGTGAGCATGCTTCAGGTCAGGCTCTCCTCGGCTCTGCCAATACCAGCAGGGATGTTTTGATTTCTGTCAGTCAGGCTCAGGTTTCTGCTTTCTCAAGTGATTTGAAAAAGTCTAGAAAGGAAGAGAGGTGCTTAAGAGCCAACAGAGGAGGGGGCTGGAAAGGAAGTAGGGCTGTAGACAGGCCCCACCTACCCGCTCTGTTCAAATCGATGAGTGTCTGGGACCTCAAGTCATCGTGGAGGCTTTTGCCACTGTCCTGCTCCAACTGGATCTGCTTGATCCTCACGGTCTTGGCCATCTGACTCTGCTTCTTTCCTATGCAGACGCCGTATGTCAAGCTCCCATTGGCAGCAATCGGGAGCCTCTGCTGGGTTATCTGGTAACCTGCCTGCTCTCAAACAAACATGGGTTACATAGTCACTAGTTCAGAACTGAAGGTGGGATCCAGTTTACTTACAGTTTCACATCATAAGTTTACTTGAAACAGACTCAAAGAAACAAGAAGACAAAAAAAAAAAAGATCAGTTCATACACTGCTGTCATAATTTAACTTGGCTTCTGGCTTTTCCCATCACCCCCTTACTCACCCAAAGCCCCTTGCCCCCAATAACAATGCAATTAGCAACAAGAATCCCATTTTCCTTACTGGAGTGCCATTTTGAGAAATAACAATCAGCTCATTGTCAGGGGCCCCTAAGAGAAGAATTTATTGTTTTCATTTAGCTCATTAGCCTAAACTCTGCATCTCATTATAGAGCTCCTGCAGGGCCTCCTTATTAGAGAGTGCTGGCTAAGCATTTTGAAATCTACTTGCAACAGGGCTGACAGTAACTACCACTGAATTTCAGCTTGTTTTGATTTTGGTCTTTCAGCTAAACAATCATGCCAGCTGCCCTCCCTGACCCAACTTCCCTTGCTCCTCTAGCCAGAAAGAGTTGTGATTCCCTCGTACTCAGCTAATGGAAACCACGTAGTACTAAACTACTGATGGATATTGTGAGGACTCTTGCCCCTTCTAAATGGAAAGGAAGAATTACTTTCAAATGCACACATACATCAACACACTCTAAGAAGGCAGGTCAGTGCAGAGATTTGAAGAACAGAGAACAGCGGCTCAAACAGCTGCAATATTTGCTTAAGGTCTGGACTGTTCTAGGTATGTTGCCCTCATTTTATTGCAGCACAACCTTGGGAAGTACTACAGGTTCAGAAGGGTCAAGGGTCTTGCCCAAAGTCACACACAGATCTAGGAGATCTCCAGGCCACACTGTCCAGTCTGTTCCTCTCCCCACTAGGCCTGTCAAGGGTGTTAGAACTTTCACTGCCTCAGAAATACAAGTGGCCACATCAAATCACAGGATGCTTAATGCCATCTTAAAGGTCTCTGATTCAGTAGGTCTGGGGGGAAGGCTGGGGACTTTATGTTCCTAACAAGGTCAAGGAATTCTGACCCTGGGTGCCCTGTAATTACACTCATCTATACATATAAATTCTTGGTAGGATTGTGGGATAAAATAGCAGGACATCTTGTTAAATCTGAGTTTCAGATAAACAACAAATACTTCTTTAGTATAAGTTTGTCCCATGTGATATTGCCATTGCCCATCCTGAATGTGCCGAGCTATCTAGGCCAGAAGGTAATCAAAACATTTCCCAGCTGTGAATGTAAGTCAGCGGTACAGTATGCTTGCCTAACGTGCAAGGCCTTGGATTCTATCCACAATACCCCAAAATTAAAAATTATAAATATTTAACTCTTTTCAATCTATACAGCAGAATGTGTGGCAGCCAGAGAGGGCTGAAGCTGTGTTGGAGAACTGGGGTCCTGCTTACTTTACTTTTTGTTTACTTCTACTTATCCCCTCACCTGCTAAAATCCAATTCTTCCAAATCTGCAGTTTCAGAAGAATGAAGTGAGGCAACATTTTTGCTACTGCTCTTCTAAATCTAAAGGCGAGCCATGCTTGCCTATTAGAGCATCCAATCGAATGTCACATTATTCTCAGAAACACATTCAACATTTCAGTTTTGTTCCAACTCAATACTATGAAAAATTGGCTCTCTTTTACACTGGCATTACTTTAAGAAACTTTTTAATTTTAAGAATACAGCAGGTAAATATTGAATTTGCTGCTCAGCCAATTACTGTTTGTGCTGGATAGCTTTAGTGTCAACTTGACACACCTGGGTTGAGGGAGCCTCAATTGGGGGATTTCCTCTATTGGACTGACAGGCCCGTGACCATGTCTGAGGGGCATCTTCTTGATGAGTGATGTAGGAGAGCCCAGCCCACTGTGGGTGGTACCACCCCTGGGCAGGTGGGCCTGTGTTGCATAAGAAAGCAGGCTGAGCAGGGGCCAGGGGAGCAAGCCAGTAAGCAGCGTTCCTCCATGGCCTGTGCTCCAGCTCCTGCTTCCAGGTTCCTGCCCTGAGTTCCTACCTTGGGCTCCCTGATGAACTGTGACCTGGGAGATGTAAGATAAATAAACCCTTTCCTCCCCAAGTTAGTAGTGATCAGAGTGTTTTGTCACAGCAATGAAGAACAAACTAAGACACTGTTGTTTGTGCAGATTTCTGGCTCATGTTTCTGCTTTCTACTGGTCACTCACTGGCTCCTCGGGTGATGACAAGATGTCTCCAATGGAGCTAGCCTTCTTATTGGGAATGTCTACATATAAGAGAGGCGCTCTCATGATGTCTGCAGAGCAATGGTGGGCACTAATGGTTGCATCAGCCACAGGGCTAGTCTTTGTCCTAACAGGCAATTAGCACCAAACACTACAGCTGGGACGAGCCTGACAACAGTGGCCTCTCCTAGTCCCTGTTCAATTATGAGTGAGCTACCAGAAGCATGAGACTAGGCAAGGAGTCAGCAATCAGGACAATCGCATCCAATCTAGGAAGCATTGGGGGGCACCTGCATTCATCAGGGCCAGGCAGAACCCCCTGCTGTGATGGAGAGAGCGCTGATTGAAAACATGAGTGGTACAGCCCCTGGCCCTTGCTTCCGTCCCCCAAGGCAGGGCTGGCCCAAGACTTTAAGGGATGGAGCACAAAGCACACTTACCGGAAGGTCTGCATAGAAGTAGTGCTTCCTGTCAAATAAGGACTTCTTGTTTATGTGGCAGTTCAGTGCCAAGCCTGTCATCACTGCAGCTTCTACACATCTCCTGTTGAGAACCTGCAGAAACATCACACAACAAGCTTCTTTCAGAAGCCAAACAGACACTTCTCTCCAACACAAACAGCTTCTCTGAATATTCAATGGGGCCTGTCAACAAGTGTAGTCTCTGGGTCTCTGGGCAGCTTTGCTTCACAAGCTGGGAATCAGAAAAATAGTATTAAAAGAGCATCTAGTGCAGCAGTGGGTCCCAAGAGGCACTTAATGAACTGTCACAGCTGGGACCCTTTCCCCAATACTTGGCATTAGTTAACAGAGTCTAAGAAAGGCTCTGTAGAGCAATTACTACATGGACTAACGTCCTTTCACTCCCTCTCAAACAGAACAAGAAGCTGGTAAGAATCATTGGAAGGTACTAGTTCCCAAGAGGAGGGTCCCACGGGCACCTTAGTAAGCTGCTTCCACTTTGGTGAGGTGGGACCTGTTGAGACACAGGTGAGACACAAGTGGCTGATGGGGTGGCTTTACCAGCAGAAAAAAAAAGAACAAACTTCTAAGAATGATACAGCCATAGCCATTTCCTCAGGGGCTGGGGATGTGGCACTGCCTCCTCCAGGCCTGACCACCTCCCTCAGAGGGCTCTGGCTGGTGTTGCCCTCACTGCCCTGTGCTCTGGGCTTGGCAGGGCTCTCAAAGCTTCCAACTTCCTTTGGACCCAGGAGACAATGAGGAACTATCCCAGTCCTAAAGACAGAAACAGCTTTTATGAATTTTTAAAGTTCTAAATTAAGTAAGGACTAGACAGAATGGTAAAGAAGGAAGCGTTAAGTTCTGGAATGATGTCCAGTCCCACTTCTGTTGTGAATAGCTTTGTGCCATAGAGCCTCAGTTCCTAAAGAAGGGATCTGATATATGATAGCATTTATATCTACTAGTATATGTGGTACTTTCCAGTGAGGTCTTTTTTTACATCAACTATCTTAGTCTCAAAAGCAACCCTGTAAAGAAGAAGGAATTATTATCCCAATATTTTAGAAAATTAAGACCCCAGAAGACTTAAGAGACTTGTCCAAGGTGCCCAAAGTGATAAGCAATGAAACCCACGCATGCTGTTGCCTGGGTGGCAAGCAGAATTCCTGTAGTTCAGGGATTGGCTCTCTAGGCTGAGCTGCTGTGAACTGACTAGTCAAACAGACTTAAATTATATGACAAAACATAAGATAGATCTCTACTTACTGCCATACACCCCACCCCCCGAAAAGACCAATAAATCTCCACTAGGGACAGCATCACACTCCTCTTTCTTGGAGTCCAGGTCACAAATGGAGCCATCTCCTAGCTTCCTTTCCAAGTTCTTCCTTCCCAGGCTAATCATATTGTCAGTCTTGCAATAAAGATTTTCAAGAAAAGATGTACATGGGGACTAGTTACTGATGTGTTTACTTGCTGCTGTTTGACGTCTCACTGAACTGTTGTTATTACAATACAAATACAGTTAGTGGAGAGCCTGACCCAATGCGTCTGGTGATGGGATCAAGGCATACAGGCTGTGATGCTGGAGCTCTGGCCCTAGGCTACACTTTCTCTGAGGCTGGGCCACAGCATGGCTACTCAGACATTCTCTACCTCTCTGGTCTACATCAATTTTTGGTTGCCCACTTCCACTGATTTTCTAACTTCTGCATTCTCTCATATTTTGGCCTAACCTGCTTCCTTCCCCTAAGCATGAAGAGAACACAGGTCATTCTGCCTGAGCATGCAGTCGTTGCCCATTCCTGACACCAGGAGGGTGTCTAGAGTTGTGGGTGATCACAGACTCTAACTGTGCTCAAGTACACAGGCACTTGATAAACTATCTATTTCCAAAAACTAAGAATGCAGTAAAACACAAAAACATTAGAGCAATATTGAATATACTTTAATCTTTTTTTGATGATTTAGGAGGCTTGAAGTACTTCAGGGTCAGAATTATAAACATCAGTCATCACTGCACCACAGTTGCACAGAGGGGCTAGTAAACAGAGTGCCAGCTAAAAGAATGCCAAGAAAAGAGAATTTATTATGATCTTAGTCAAGCTGTTTGTGACAGATGGAGGGCCAGGTCAGCATGTTCTGAGGACAGGATGCAGAATAGAAAATTCAACTTGAGCTCTCTTCATTCCCAGATACTTCCTGAATGTCTACAGTATACCAAACATCAAGGACACAGAGATAAATAGGACTGGCCCATGTTTCTGCCCTCAATGAATCTGTGAGGATGAGAAAAAACCTGCTAGAATCTCTGATGCCCTTTTCAAGGCTACATTCCATATGAGGGTGATGCTGCTAAAAATGTATCTTGTGGCATTTTGTTATCTAAAGTCTCTCAATGGGCCCCAATGGCTCCCATGATAAAGGCCAAGCTCTGGCAAGTTCTAGCTCCAGCCTACATCTTCGGTTTTGTTTCACCATACTGCCTGCCCTCACTTCGGCCAGTTCTCCTATACAAACCTGCAGATCTTCTGACTCTCTGCCACCTTCGCTGAAAAATCTTACCGAGATGCCACCATTTCTGCTAAGCCAGCTTTACTATCCTTCCTCTGCACTGGTTTTTAGTTTCCACACACTTCCATTTGTGCTTCTATCACAATGCACTGAATCTATGCACACCTATTTCCACATAATCACAAATTTAATAAGAATGGGAACTCTGGCCATCCTCGTATCACTGAGCCTATGACAGAATCTGAAAAGAGTAGTGCTCAATTCATATGTGCTGAACTGAAATGAGGACGGCAGTAGAAAGGGTTCACAGAGACAGCGATGAACACAGACTCTTCAAAGTGTTATTGGCCATCTTCTGACTTTTAGGCTTGTTTCTGAAAGTGTTCTAAGCAACAGCTAATCTAGTATGCTATTTTCTTTCAGTAGCTAACTTCACTGACTATAAAGGTCATAGGGTTAGCCCTACCAACTCTTCCATGGAAGTCCGTCCACCATCCCTGGCACTCACACATGCAAATATACGGAGACTTACACCTTTCTCACTGAGCTTCAGGGACTCCACTTTGGTGTTAGGCATGATCCACAGGAAGAATTTAAGGTGTACTGGTAGTATATAAGGAGGGATGCTGTGCATATCACATACATCTGTCATGTTGTCCTCCTAACAGTCTGAACTGTTATGATCTCATGTTATAGAAAATGGAGGGACTCATCAAGAGTAAGTCATTTGGCTGAGATGTCATATACAGTAAGGAGCAGAGCAAGGAAGTCAGACTCCAGAACCCAGAACCCAGGCTCTCAACCATTATACTCAATTTTGAATCTTCAAAGAATAAAGTGGGTTGGTTTTAGCTCTTAAGACTACCGGCACCTGGCTCTAGTTCCAGAGCAGCACCTCAAACTAAATCCTGTTCTAGATAATTTAAGGCACATGCTGCTTTTAATATTTCTCACCCGATTCTAGCTCTATAGGTCTGTTTCCAAATGCTGTGTTCCACAGACACTATATTCTTCCAACTTTCTAAAACACTCAATATACAGTCTTCGGCATGTAGAAGGATTGGTAATAGGTGGACCCATGGGTTTTCTCAATTGGCAAAGAATGCTTCATTGCTAGACTTCTGACACAAGCACTCTTGATGATTTTATCAGCTAAAAGGTTCATTCTTTTTTCTCATCAGAAGACAAGAAAGCTATGACAGAGTAGGGGATGAGATAAATGTACAGTGGATGGTCAATAAATTTTATGACTAGCAGAGAGAACCTGGGTGGGTCGTAGCATGGAAAAGGAAAGCAGGGGTGTGGGTGGTGGGCAGGAGTAGGACAGTCTTAGAAGACTCACTGACTTGGCCTGCCCGTAAAGTACGAGAAGCACCATGACCGTTAATTTGTTTGGAGCCTAAAATATATCAGTACAGACAGTACAAACAACCCAGAAACATGCCAGACAGCTCCAAGGTGAGAGTATACCCCAATGTGAGAAACTGTCTTCAAGTTCTGAAATTCATTTAATGTAACTAAACAAATGTGTTGTGCTCAACAGACTTCCATTTAATGCAACTCCTGACACCCAAAACAATCACCCAAGTTCCTCAATACATCCTGACTTCCCCCTTCCCATTATTGGAGACTCCAGTCAAACTTCACCTCTTTCCACCAGGGTTTTGGCCCCTACACCTGTCTAGAGGCTCCCCTACCTCTAGGATTTCCTCTATACCACTCCAGGAGTAGCCTTTGTAAACATCAGTGTGCTTCATGATCCAGCTGAACTGCCCTTTGGGCTTCCTTTTCCTCCTTCATCCCAACCTAACACTCACATGCAGTCATGCTATGTGTTCCTCTGGGCAAACTGTTGCTTCTGCTGGAAACACCCTTCCCCGTGTGCTTGAGCAAGGCCTAGGCATCTGGCAAGACCCTTGGATGTCACCTCCTTTGCAAAAGTTCTTTCCCCATCACTACCTCAGTCAAAGCAATCCTTCTTGGCTCCCACAGCTCTGAGGGAAGCTCTGCCCCCTTCAGTGACCAAGTTCCCTGGGAACAATCCAATCGTTCTGCCTGTTTCTTCTTTTGTCATCAAGCTGATTAAACCTTAGCTGAGGTAATAAATAATTTAACATTTCCTTTATTAACACCCCCAAAGGAAATGTATCAGGCAGGAAAAGGAAAACATTCTTAGTACATAAAATAGAACAAATTAAGTGCAGAGACTTCATTATACAAATGACAGAAGGGTGGAGATGTCAAAGAGGACACAACGAGTCCTCTCGGGGTTGCACAGACAGGAAGCAGCATGGGGCTTCCGGAGAATACTGGGAATGTGGTGGCTCTGTCTCCCAAGAGCTGGAGATACAGAAAAGACCCACCTCTACTACCACCCACCACAGATGCTGATCCAGGCAGAGAAGGAAGGAGATGTGCCCTGTTGCTTCATTCCCCTTACCCACCCTCTTTCAGCAGAGCCTCCTGTTAGCTGAACCCAGTAAGGAATCGGCTGACTCTGGGCACTGGATCTACACCAGGATGAGCAGGGGAACGGGAGGCACGGACCTGAACACTTGCAGGCCTGACTGGAATGG